GACTACTTTGGTAGATGAATTATATTTACAATATATATTTTAAAAGACACGAAGCCATCTCGTAGAAATGATCTCAATCACATTTTGATTTCTTGGTAAAAGTATATATTGACATACATTTGCTATAGTGAGCATGATGTCGTTAAACGTATGTTGCTGTGTAACCGGTGAAAAATATCTTTAAAGACATAGGTCACTTAATCATGTCATGCTCACTTTTTCACATAATCGATTTGTTTTCAAGTGAATTCACGCAACTACAATGTACATGTAATTTGTTTATATATACATATGTATATATATATATATTCTTAGCTAGGCGATTTGGTGCCGTATATCGTGAGTTCGAGGCCGGGATAGGGCACGAAACAAAACCCTGTTTATTGTGTTACATTGTCAAACATAAATTGATCAGTGTCATAAGAAATTGATCAGTGTCATAAGAAATGAAAACTCATTTAAGAATGTATGAAAGTCAGACGTCCAAGATATTGCTTCATTCTATATTTGTCCTATGTCCTAAAATTAATTTTTCAAAGATAGCAATGGTTTTCTATATGTTTCAAAATACAAAAAGACAGGACCACTTACTCTTTTTTACCTAATTTTTCCCTTGAAAAATAAAGAAATAATCTGAAAGATCAGGGCCCTAAAATTCAAGAAGATGCATTGAACAAGCACCATTTTTAGTATTTCAAATCTGTTTTTCCGTTGTGATAATTCATGCATATGTTTTGTTAAATTCTGCCCAAATCGTCCAGATTTATATCTAGGAGGAACACATTCTGGTATCCTAGCAATGACAAAATATTGAAATTGCAAAAAATCACAAAAGTAGTCAAGAGGCAAATATCTAAAAAAATATCATATAAAGCGCTCCTCATTTTGAGTAAAATCTCAACTGTTAGTAATAGATTATATTTATCATATATCACCGTGAAATTACGCTGTAATTTATGTCTTATTGAACTACTTACTGAGGGTCAAGCATACCTTTTACGCATTCTTAAGATTATATAGGTGTGCCTTTTGTATAATCTTTCAGTGATGGTCATTATCAATGGAAGACACTTTACACTACCAACGATTTGTAACAAGGTATTTTTATGATCATATTTGTCTTTACAGGACGTTTTCCCAGTGTATTCGACCAAATACAGACGATTTATATTCCTGGTGCCGCTATTTTTATTTGTGTTTTGGATTTCAATACAGGCTAGTCCGAACGTCATAGCTCATGGAATGTCAACAAGGCAAGGCCTGTCTATTAATACGCCAAGTAGTACCAACGTGTCTATTCGACATCCCACTGACACAATACATATCAATCACTCCGATAATACAGTGTGGCCGGAGAAATTCGTTAAATATGTATCACTATTGAAAGTTGATGATGACAGCCCCGAGCCAATGAAATATCTGCTACGACATTCCTATAGCGAAGTGCTTGCTAATTCAGGCACAAAGTATATCGTATATGACTGCAGTACTGCAAGGAAAGGACGGTGTGGAGGGTGGTCGGATAGGTTGTCTGGAATCATCTCTACATTCATAATTTCACTGATTACGAATCGTCATTTCATGATTAATCATGACATTCCGTGCAGACTAGAACGATACGTATTACCACATAAGTTAGACTGGCGAATGAATGAAAGCAGGATAGCACATAAAACGTCTAAGTATTATTTTTATAATTGTGACGAGCGCATAAGAGAGCTGTTTCGACATGGTGATCTGAATAAATATTTTTCAGCTGATGTCAGCTATATTCGTATAAATTGGGATTACACGGTGGATTTCAGACTACGAACGGGGATCAAACGTCTGTTACCATGGTTATTGAAATTTAACGTAGCTGACCTACAGAAAGCTATTCTTGAATTCCTGTTTCAGCAATCATTTGAGATAAAACATATTTTGAAGGACGCTACCAAAAGAAGTGTCAAAGGGAAAACAGTCTGTGCACATTTCAGAATTGGGGAAAATCCATCACTTCCTCACGATCGGCCTAGAACTAATGAAAATACTCTTATCGAAATTTGGAATGTTTTAAAAGATTTTGATGTAAAGGGATATACCATATTTATCCTGACAGACTCACAATCTGTTAAAAGAACAGCTCGTAGTAGGTTGGAACATTTCGTGTATGATACTCACAAAATAAGCCACATTGACAACTCGAGGAATGACTGCGAGGGGTTCCGATATATGGTCCTTGACTTTTATATCCTGGTTGATTCCTTGTGTGATGTCATGATAGTAGGGCAAAGTGGTTTTAGTATCAAGGCGGCGTTCATGAGGAATTCTTCAAATGGAATGTATTGTATGAGACGGAACTCGGTAATACCTTGTTCAAGATACACTTTACAAGATGTTTATCCCAACTGGTTCAGACCTTTTCTTGATCATACGCTCCCGGAATATCAGTTGTTAGTGTGATATTTTTCTGTTTTGCATCCCAACACCTGACATGTTCTGATCACATGTATAAAGACTTTGGAAATTTTCAAAAACTTTACAATAGCCCCAAAGTCGTGATTTCATCATTATTTTTGCCACAATACTGTCTTCTTCTCAATACATATCTGTACATATCTATTTAATGATTTTGAAAAGCCAATTTAAAAAAGGTATATTTGGTTTCTTATTCAATTATGACTGCGACTGAAAAAACACGTCATCAAATAACACACAATTGTTTTTAACTTGTTTTCAACCCAACCTAACCAATAAGTCACACAGAAAAAAATAAATGCTTATTTCTTATAAAATTACGATCACCTATGTTACACACTAATTAATCAGACACGTGGTATTTGAGTTACGTTTTATTCAGTACTGTGGTTACACAAAGTTCCTGATTAAGTCCGTCCCCAACTCCCTCTTTTATCCAGCACTGACTTGCCTAGCTCCCTTGCTCAAGTCTCCAATTACTCTTCCGCTACTCTCCAACTACTCTCTTCCACTTGCTATTATATTAATATTAATAATACCCAAACACTCAATTTTAGCCAACCCTCCATTGGATTTCAATAACTCAACCCACGTGAAATATCAAGGCACGTGTCCCCTCACGTATTCTTATCCCCAGTATCTCGTTATACTTTAGCATCCAGCATTCTATCTACTTTGATCAGTGATCCCTCTCGCTACAGTGGCTAAGAGGCACACCCTAGATATCTCAGGACTACCAGACTGTCTGTCCGTCACAGGTCGTTAACCCTGGTCCAGTGCCGGACATTTGACACCAGGCCCCACTTGTATAAAACATCTCAACTTGAGATTTCCTCAAGTCGGGATTTTCCTCAGCAAATATCTCCTCAAAAACGGCTTTTATAAAATTTTCTCAAGGAACAGGAGGAAGTCATCGGCTAGGATGTCCTAAAATTCCTTGAGGAATTTTCATACAAGATATTTTCAAGGAGATATTAGCTGAGGAAAATCTCGACTTGAGGAAATCTCAAGCTGAGATGTTTTATACAAGTGGGGCCTGTTATTATTGCGCCCTGAGGTACTTTAAATCTCTGCTCTAAATTACACTTATACTACCCATCTGGTTATACCTATTTGTTAAGTGATTATGTTTTCTGCTTTTTTATATCTCCTGTTGAGAACAATATTGTTTCGATTGGCAATAATCGTAATTATCACTAGAGCCTTAAAAGTGGACATTAACCCACTTTAAAAAATATATAATTCCCAACAATTATATTTAGCACGAGTAAAAACAGACACAGAACATTTTGATATAAAAATCTTTATTAAAGAAAATGTGTTATAGTGAAATCTAAAATACACCGGTTATTGGTAAAAGTTAAAACATAATTGCATCTGAATGTTTACTTGAATATACGTCAGTTATACACAAATGGCACGAGGTTTTAGTATACCTATTCTAAATATTGTTAAAAAATTTAAGTATATTGCTATTGTATCTAATCAAAAAATTTATCAGAAACATACTGTTTTATTACGATTTTCACAATAAATATTTAAAATGAAGATATTCGAGGTATTTCCAGTAAGTGAAAACAATGTTTTGATAATCTCAGTCATGTTTATACCACTGTATATTAATGGCAGGAAAAATATAACTTTCTGTTCATGCGCATTGAAGCACACTAGCGGATCAATAGCTCTTGTAGAGATTATACAAAATATAGCACTTTACAATAAAATGGAAACTTTCTAAAGCCTTGGATATAACACATTAAGGAGTTGTCTCCCTTATGACCCCATATGTGTTATCTTTGATAATTATAAGTTTTATTAAACTGGTAAAAATGCTCTTCTTCATTTGATTGAGATACATGCTTTCTTTTGTGTTCAGGCGAACAAAATTGTTCTGTATACCTTCAATGAAAAATGCACGTTACATCGGAGTTTAAGCTCTAAGATATTTCTATGCATATCAATCCCCATTAATTAGCGAAAATGCTAATATTTTGTTGATATAGCTTTTGTTTTGCAGGATTTCCAAATATTCTTAACCACTACCAATATATCATTGTCAATCCTGGTGAAAAATCTTATGATATGATTCTTAGACAATGAAAAATCGTTTTTTTTTTCCAAAACAGATGTTCACACATACATTGTGTTCATATGTCATGTTATCAGCCAAACGTTCATGTTAAATCTTTCAAAAAATAATTCACATGTAGGTAAAACGTCAATAATAGTTTACATAACATAATCATAATATATCCAATTAAAGTTATTATTAAATACAAAAATATATGTGCTCAAGTTAATCATAATATCATTAGATGTTCTACAAAACTACATTAGTTCTAAATATATCGCTTAAGAAAAAATATGGTGAAAATACATAATGGCACATTTGAATAAAATCTTAACAAAAAAAAAAAAACGCTCCGTTATTCCAAAGACACACGAATAATCTGCACAATGTCAATAAACAAAAACTACAAAGAACTAATTATAGAAACAAAGTTAAGCAAATACAAATATATGTGTCCGCAAATTGTGCTATATATGCAGTGTGTTTCAATTCGTAATAATGGTTTTCCTAGTAATGTTTGATAACAATGGATATATCACATCACTCCACGATTTCTATCACTTCATTTCCGTAAATGACCGGAAGCTCCTCCGTTTCAAGGGTTGCCAGTATCTGTCCCATTCCCGGGCGAAGAGCCTTCAATTCAATGTCTTTCGTCCACGTTGACATTGGCTGGATGTCACTGAAATCAACGGAATTCAAAAAGGTTTAATAGATCTCATTTGATATGCATCAATAATAAATTATGTAATCTTACAGACATTCAACGGGTTGTCTCATTCAATTTGAATCTTATAATAAGCCGTAAAAGTAAAACGATTAGATAGTAATATTTCATTTAAATATAAATTGATAACAATTCATCCTATTGATCATTTTCTTGCATATTTAACCACTATTCCGTGACAAACATTTTCAAAAATGGTCCTATATGGTTCCACAAGGACAATCACATAACCACGCAATTGTTGGGTCCCAATTATGTCATGTTTTAAAACGTCATTTCCTTTGGGCTGAGTAGGATTTGTGTTACAATTACGGTTTGATGCATGACCAAACGATAATGAAATTCATATAACGAATTCATGATATCGATGAAAATGCCATCTGATACACTCGTGTCTCATTTGTGCTACGAATTAAATTTTCCCTACCACGTGAATGAACTGCTAAATAGAGAAAAGACCATCCAACCCCGGAAATAACCGGCGATACTGTAGGTATTGGTATTCGATTACATCTAAACCCAGCTCTTATTCTACACTTACTTCTGTTTTTCCTCTTTGTAGTCATCGAATTTTTCAGTATCGAAACTGAGGAAGCACCCAGTGAGCTTCAAAGGAAGAGGGTTCTTAACTGTCAATTTCATTTTGACGATATCTCCAACTTTGCATGTCTTTCCTCCTTTGACCTTGATTTAACACGTTAACAGAAATATCATTACTAATATTCTACATAAAATATGGTATAAAACAAAAACAAAACAAAAAAGAGTGAAATTTTTATTAGATATCAACATCCATTAATAATTGTTTGGAAATTATAGCAAAAAGGATTGCAAAATAGATCACAAAGAATTCTTTCTCTAAGTTTGTACCTCTCTTTTTATTTCAAGGAACAGCGTTAGACGATGAACAGAAAAATAAATATATTTCTTACGTGTATTTCCACGATGGAGTCATTTCGGAGAGAGAAGATTCTAAATTCTGGGAAAGAATTTCTAGACTTGGCAACGGTAACTACTGTTGAAACCTGAAATTCACTTTCCTCCATAAGTTTGTCTTTGTAATCATCCCATGTAATCTTCATTTCGAATTTTTGCTCTGAAAATAGGAATTTTCATTAATAATTACCAAATGTTAGAATTCAAAATTAAGGGAAACATTTTAGAAATAACGATTAATTTTCGTACAGTATAATAAGTGAGAGCATAACCAAAAATAATGTTCCCTTAAAAATATTCAAACGATGAAACAATGATTCTTTACACAATACATAAAAAATATTTCATATTTTCAGAAATTTATCATTTTTATCAAATCTAAGATATGTTATTTCATCAAGGTGTCATTTTCTGAATGCCTTAAAATAATATTGTTTACTTTATTTTACGCAAAAGGAGCTTAAACTATTTTAAAAGGAATTTGCATTATTTTAACTTAATCTGTTATTTGCATTTATCTGTATATCATATTTCATTATCCAATTTCAAATCCATTATTAAATCATGATATTTTCCTTCAGTTATTATCAGCATAGAGCAGGAAATACCTTCGTCGGGATTAAGAAAGAAATCCCACTTGTCTAGGATTTTTACAGGAATAGTTGTGGCTCCTGTGTAGTCCATGGAACTGATCTTGCATCTCATGTGGCTAATTTTCATTCTTTTTTCCTTGTCGTCTTTTGTATTTTTCACAACTATGACAACATCTAAGTCCTCACCGACCAAAACCTCATCTTTCTTCTTTTTCCCGATGGTTATTGTGACTTCCTGTGGCAAATATTCATACTTATCAGGATGATAATCGCCAAACATTGTTTTAGGAAAAATTGAATACGAGGGTTGATTGATAAGTTGTGGGCCTGATATTTAAGGTCATGAACTTTGAAGGAAATATTTTGTTATTTTTCAACATAATCCCCTTCAGTATCTATACACTTTTGCCAGCGATGTGTAATGGACTCGATGCTACTTTGAAAGTCCCTTTCTTTACAGTTCAGAAAGACCCCCAATGTATATATGACGTCGTTATCTGGCTGAAACTGGGTTCCTGAAGTGACCTTTTCAATTTTGGTAATAGATGGAATTCTGATTGAGCAGGATCAGGCGAATAAGGCGGATGTTTAATCAATCTCAAGCCACAATTGTTAATGGCAATCATGACAATGACAGATTTGTGAACTGAGACATTGTTCTGGTAGAACAATACACCTATACTGCATTTTCTGGAGCGCTTAGGTTTAATATTTTTCATGATTGTCTAGCAAGTGATGCAAAATATGTGTCATTGATTGTTTGTCCCTTTTGCAGATAATCTACCATTAGAATACCATCAGCATCCCAGAAAACCAAGACCATTGTCTTGCCAGCTGATGAAGCAGTATTTGCCCTCTTTCGCGGGTGTGAACCATGGTGTTTCCATTGATGAGACTGTTGTTTGGCTTTTGGGGTGAAATGATGGGCCTACGATTTATCAATAGTTACAAACTGCAGGAAGTAAGCAGGAACTGCTTCTCAAAGGTTCGTCTGGTGTGGTTCTGATCAACTGTCAGAGGTATTGGTACCCAACAGACTGAGAGCTTCTTTCGTAAGAATACGATGTACCCTTTACTTTGAAATCCGAACTATACTAATTATATCTCTCTTTATAACGCTGTCAGCCATAACAATTTCATGGACTTTATTTGCCATTTCTGGGGGTTGAAACAGTGACTGGCTTTAAGGACAGGCGTCATTCCGAAGGCTCTGCCTGTCACGCTTAAGTTCCGCCACCCGGCTTTTTACTGTAGCATATGAAGGGACATCGTTCACTAGTGTTGTAACCATATCAGTATGGATAGGTGCTAGACGTATGTAAATATTGAATCACTGCTCTTTCAGCGATTTCGCTCATTTTGCAAGTCATTTCCCTTGTTTATTTAGAGTGATTACTCTTCGACATAAACTGATCAAATAACACTAGTCTTCGGGTACATAGCCGTTAAGAATCATGGTGTATTAGAGCTGAAAAAGGACATTCCTGCTTAACTTCTTCAATACAAGGCTCACAATTTACCAATCAGCACACCTACCTTTATTATGTGCCATATATATCAAAAGTAATTGGTTTTTGCCATTCCAGAATTATTACAAACAATACCTTAGTTTTATTATAGTTATTTCATGGTGTCTGTATGAACTGTACGTTCGAACTACCAGATATCAGACGATGGGAAACAGTAAGACATTGCTCACATTCTGGCTGGTGTTTTATATATACTAAACAAAAAAGAGTAAGACTACTTTATTCTGTGATTAATCAATTAACCCCTTCACAAATCCTTACCAATCATGTACGAATAAAGTAATTGATCAATTCTGTTAAAACTGCAGTCATGGTTCATTATAAAACTTTGCGTTCAGTTGCTTTTATTCGACTGTAAAGGATGTTGGGGTCAATTTCAAAGGTAACACCATTAGTAACGGGTATGGCCACCGTTTGCGAAGTAAACAGCGTTGCAGCGTCGTCGCATGGAACTCGTAAACCGGCGGATAATTCGAGGAGAGATGTTGTTCCATTCAGCGATCAAGGCTTGGGCCAGCTCCTGCAAGTTGGACGGCTGATTTTGACGTTCTCTCACGCGTCGCCCAAGAACGTCCCAGACATGCTCAATCGGTGACAAATCAAGTGATTTAGATGGCCAATCTAACACCTGTACATTATTCTGCTGCAAGAAAGTTCTGCTGACGCGACTGGTGTGCATGCACTGGTGCATTATCCGGTAGAAAAATGGCGCCAACGCCAAGGCGTCTTAAGAATGGCAGAACCACTGGTCTTAAAATTTCGTCCCGATATCGAATGCCGGTTAAATTGCCATTTAACACAACAACCCTGGTACGAGGCCCCGCAAAAGCGGTCCCGTTCTGCGACGCAGCAGTTCGCAAAAAGCTCCTCTAGTCGCCTCCACACTCTGCGCCTTCCGTCACCGTGTTGCAGACAAAACCTTGACTCATCTGAAAACAGAACATTATTCCATTGTCGTAAAGTCCAACGACGGTGAACACGGGTCCAGTTACGCCGATTATTATGGTGACGTCGCAACAAATTGGGTCCAGTTTAGGGACGCCGCGCTTTCAATTGGTAGGCCCTCAACCTGTTGCGGACTGTTTGGGGAGACACACGACGCCCAAACAATGTCCTTGTAGTCTCTACTGCGGTTACGAATCGATTGCACAAGTGTATCAATTGTATGCGACGGTCATCCCTTGCGGTCGTTTTACGGGGTCGGCCGCTTCGGGGACGATCGGATGTTGACCCAATTTGGTTTAAACGACTTACCAACTGGCAAGTTGTCTTAACACTGCAACCAAAATGCCGTGCAACTCGACGGCGAAACTCCCAAACGTGGATCATTCCTACAGCCCTTTCTCTCTGTAATTGTGATCTTAGGAACAGTTGTCAGTTTGAATGTTTATGAAATTCAAGCGAAGATACAAGTTAGTCGCAGAAAACCTCGTGCAGCTCTTTCGCTAATACAGACATTCATGCGTGAATGATTATGGTAACCCCCTTGGATTTTGTAATGTAAAACATTACCATTTTCTAATATTGCACAAACGTCATTTTGTTTTCACTCATTTACAGGTGTTCGCCAAGGAAACACGTTAACATTTCTTTTTTGTTGAGTATATATATATATTGGTACTTGCTACATGTATTACAAACGTATGGAAAGTTAAACAAGTCTGTATATTTATTTATTTACCAACTTTTTTCCTCCTGCGAGAAAATATATTCAATACTAAATAATAATTATTTGCATGTAAGTGCTTGTGCGACAGAATTAGTCGATTATTAAAATCTGTAACTATATCTCCATTTTAAACAAAATATCTTTATTGATAATTCGAAAGTTTCTATCTAATTTGAGTATTTTTGAGAAATCAATGGAACCTCGTACCTGATCCACTTCTATCAATTCAGTTCCAGCATGTCTCATTGCTCTCGTCACTGCTGTCCTCTCTTCCAGGGAGCCTGTAGCAATATATAGACATGTACGATGATGGATGCGATATGTTTATCTATAGATCGTTTTCATATTCTTATCCAGACTTCAGTATCTAGTGTTCATGTTTGACTTTAAGTTTTACAATAGAATTGTCTTTGACCCGAATACAGAATTTACAAGAAAACAGGAGGTATACCTCTCAGCTGAAAATAAAATAGAGTTATACTGAAGAACATTATATCTAATTAATGCATCATTAGTAATTTTAAAAAGTTTTAATAAGTTACATGTATATAAAACCATTGAATATATTATAAAAATCTAAGCTTTAATGTATTCATCTGCATTTCGGTCAGTTCGGCTTTACTTATAATTACCTTCCTTGTGTTTGTATAGATCTGTAATATCCAGTCTGCTTCTGTAATATTCAATAGGCTTTCCGTCTGGCGGTTTGGTGCTGATATACTCTCCAACACTAGGAAAAATCAACAGTCGCTGTACTGCATGATGCATTAGTTTTTTTGGTTTTGTTTTCAAATACGATTGATATGAAACTATTCAAAGACAACATTTATTTTATACTTACGTAATCGGATATATTCTATTGGGAAACCTTTAAGGACTTCATTGTATGAGGACCAATGCATTGGCCTGTATTTGTTTCGTCACTCAAAAACATTGTTTTAATATTATATATTATATTTCTGGTTCTAAGTGTCCATGCTGTAGTAGATGGATTTATCGAATAATTGATTGAGGGTTCTATGTGTTTCTTTTCTTTAATTTGGTTCCGCTGCGATCTATTCCCCCTAATAAGATTTATTCTAAAATGCTGGTGTAATAGTGCATGGCGCATATTTGATAAGTTTCCCGATCTTATCACCGATATACTCATAAATCGACAATCCGTTATCACGACCATCATTTTGATGTACACCAGGAATCTGTATAAACAAGAGATATTTCACACAAATAAATCGACGGTTTGACTGGACAGAGGATAGAGCGTCGACAAGTTATCAGTGGTTGAAATGACCGTTTTGAATTGCAAAGAATATTTGAGAGATGTTACGAACAAAAATCTTCGTTGCTGAATTTCGTTGATATTACGATAAATCGTCTGTCATAGACTCATTTTTTAAAATGGGGATGGTATGCTTGTTTGTATCAACCGAGTGTTAAAACATTCATGGTCTTTTTTACGGAATACGTATAAAAGCAGACATACTATCCCCCAAGTAGACTAGAGCCCTTTAAATTGAAGCGTGACCTTTAATTTGTACGCCTATCTCATTCAGGGTATACATGTCACATACTTGCATTGGAAATCAATGTCATTTATTATAACAAAAAATCGTATATGAAAAAAGGTTCAAAAATGAGATAATGAGGTTTTGTAATTTTAAGTGTTTACCACTTAAAATACGACCACGTACAAGCGTTTCTGTAGATACCAATCTATACATCCCTATTATATCATCTGGTTAGCTTTTAGTAATATATAAGTAAAGTATCTACTTACATGTGAATTTGATCAGTGATATGTGAAAAGTGATCATCGATAGCACAGGGGGCATGTAACATTGTTTGTGGGGTAGGAGGTGGTGTATGTTGTTCTATAACTAGTACTTTCAATACGAGTCATCCTTTCCCAAAAACAATGTTACATGTCATTGTGATTTAAAGAGTACTTCCTAAATACACCAACATAAGGATCGTCTTTATACCTTTAACATTATATAAAGCTTTTATCTCATCACATCACAGGTGTTGTAAATTATCTGTATTTTTCGTGATATTAACAGATACTATGTATATGTAGACTTCATCTTTAGTAAGTTCAATAACGTCAAGTGTTTTTTGTTTTTTTTTACATCTATGTCATTGTAAATGTAATTGCTATCTAAAGCACTACAAAGCGATGACCTGAGTGAATTTTAAATTGCTATTGCTCGAAACCTTAACTATTCACAACTAAATTTAGAAATAGCAAATAAGCTCTTGAAGTAACCTTTAACCCATCAGGTTTTCTTCATTGACTGAAGTTCTGAATACGACTTTTGACGAAACAATTAGAAAACACAAAGCCTTAAGTTCATTTGTGGAATTGTTCTTAAAATAATTTCCTGCTTCATTGTTTCAATGACACACTCCGATAAAACAATCGCCAGAAAAAAAATGAATGGAGTTTTAATATCGTCCTTCTTTCTATCGGTACTCCAATTCTCTATACATATAATATAATTATATGAGATTTTACCAGTAGGATTCAACACATAGAATAGCAACCGTTCTAGCCAATGAGTGATAAAACACTGCTGTATTGATCACTTACTGATTTTTCTCTGTTTTAATCTTTTTATATCCATTCAAACTATGCTTGTAATAGATGATGTCGGCGTTTACTTCAGCAAAGACAAAGCCCGTGTCCATTGGCATGTAAGTAAGGCCTTCCCTCACTGCCCGAAGAGGGGCTGGTCCACATTGAAACAATCCTGTTGGACAAAAAACAAATCATACACCAGCAATTCCAATACCGTTAGATCATAATCGATAACATTTAAATAGTATGATAAAATATTCTTCCTTTTTCATATCTGAAAATGTTTTTTCAATTTATTTCAATATCAAAAATTATTTTTGTGTGATATAAATACATTGTTGTAATTAGTTTAATTATAAAGACCATTTATTTGTCCTCTAGAGAAAAGATACAATGCAAAACACACAATGATGGCATGATAGAAAAATGTTTTTTTTTTGCCATGCAAATTATTTCATCTCTTACATATCCAGCAGAAAACACGATGTCCATGTAACCGGCTCGGGACGGTCATTTTGGTATACCCATTATCATTATTTCTTTCGGGTTACAATGTACATGCAACATTTGCGTTGGTGTTGCAAACAAAAAAAAAAGACACGTTTACGTTTTTTATTGTTATTTTTGTATAATTCCATCCCCATTTCCATGCCCAATAAAAAACAAAACCAAAAAATACGAATCGTGTTTCGTGCACGCCACAACACATTTTGATGATATTGGGTACCCAGCCTGTACAGATATAAAACTAATCATGTCATCATACCTTCGCTTGTTTCCTGGGGCGTAGCATCAAAGATTTGCCAGCCGTTAAATTTGTCTTTTATCAGATCCGGTCTGGTCATCCATGCTTCATTCCAGACATGGAAATTCCTTTTCATTGAATTAAAAAAAAAAATCAAACAGCGAAAACATTCTACAGCAACGTCATTTTTTTGCGCTATTGTATATATTATTTATGATGGCAAGCACGTCGCAGAGTAGAAAGAAAGGTTCCTTCATTACTTACCAAATACTGTCATTTCTCAGTGAGGTGATCTCATCATCATCTCCAATGAGCTTTTCTATCGCATTGGTTTTGTCAGCGTCATGAGCAGAAGAATAATTTGTGACACTTCTGCAAGGTATTCCGACGGCTCTGGCGACTGTTTAACAACATAAAGTACATATCACTATATAGGCTGAATATTTAAAGGATGTAAAAATATACACAAATGAATAAAATGTTAACTGCAATTTTATAATTGGTAGCATAAAAGCCGAATAATTTAATAAAACGGTCTCATTCAACAGTTGCGCCCTCTAGGACTCGTTATTTAATCATAACATTTACCTAAGAGATAAACGAATTGCATGCTATGTAACTTCTGCTTGGTGAAATAGTTTCATATTCATCACTACTGATCATGCATTTCAACTTCTGACTTACATGTTATCACCCCGGAGTTTCTTTTTTTGTATATCTCAGTAATGATATAAGCTGTATAGCAGCAGCGTTAAAATTTGGGCTCATAAATATGGCGGAAAGAAAAATAATACTGTATTACATCGGGAAAGTGTTGCATCTATTTCAATTTCGCCCTTTGCTTCCTTGAACAGAGAGAACGATTTGAGATGGGATCTACAGTTTGCTACACTTGCATAATCTTTTCATATAACACACAGAGAAAGAAATGACCTACGTGAAGAATTATTATGTTATGGTACAAGGGCGAAAGTATTCTGATACACACTTATAGATTTTCTATTACTTCAATATATATTCTAATCATTCAATAATCGTGTATACATGTACGTGGAAGATTTTTTTTAAATACTGTAGATGTCTTTTTTTCTATATACTATATATTGCAATATGTGTGATCTATTTTTCACTACTTTTTTAATAATGAATGATAGTATGATATAATTATTAAACTCCGTAAATTTCAAAGCCTTACATATTAATCATTGACGTGAGACATCTAACCGTGTGCAATGAAGAGTAATCATTTCATAAATATCTCACCTATAAGAATAAACTTAAGACAATAAGCAATATCTGTGCTAGATACAACCTTCTTTTGTTCAGAATCTTTGTGAGACACATATTATGTTAATTGTATATCAACAAAAGTTGATACCTGTGACTGCGACAGCAGAAAAAACCCAGCACTGGCCGTATTTTACTGGGCCTTTATCTCGGAATTGTCTCAGGATGGATGTTGACCCTTTCCAAACTGTTGGACGAGTTCCGCCCGGGTAGTCTTTAGCCCAACGACCAATGATCGCACCGTCATTGTCATTACCATTAAGCTATAACAGATCTAAAACGTTAGGGAAACCGGAATTTCCATTGAAATCAATAAAATGGTGTCTGTATTTATCAGGTAAAACCAATGATATCAACGTTCTCGATTTAATTCGCTGCTTCTAAATGATTTTGAAATATCAATCTACTTCCTCAGGATAGAACTCATATCACTTACAACGTACATAATGCATTGGTATTATAAAGAAAACCTGATTTAAAAAAAATAACCAGTAATAGAAATATTATTATTGTGCATTTTCTTACCACTGACGAAATGGCTCTGACTACTTTGATGGGGTTACCCATATCTTGGTTGACGACTCCACCGAAATACTTTCTAATTAACCTCAAGGAGATTTGTAAAATATCTTCATCAAACTGAAATATAATGTTCAAATTTGACTTAATTAAATATCAGCATAAGCTTGTCTTGAAATACATCATTTCTTAGAGACCAAATAATGTGATTTTCGATGCAGTAAACCAGAGGAATCTTCAAATATCATGACAGTGTGTACAGTTGAAATTGCTTAACCCAGCTGTGTTGCATTTAATGATATTTTCCAAATAATTGATTGTGTCCAAAACAATAGCAAAACACAACTAGACATTTCCTATGGTTCTTTTCCTTTCTACAATATCCTTTCAACAACACCCGTTATCATCTAGAGATATGCTTGTTATATTATTTTCTAATGACGTCATCCTATATTGTTATCTTCAAATCGCTCAAATTCTATATGTTTACATGGAGGAAGACTCGTGTTCATTTTATAAGAATGTATCCGCGGTTTAGAATTTTCCATTCAAACTAATATCGATAAGTTCCGAAAGAAGTCATCCTTAGTATTATACTGTTTTACTAGATTATACATTATATCTTCTACTTCATATATAATGAATATGACTTCTAATTGTTTATATTATTTGTCAAAACTCTTGCAGAGTCTTCTCTATCGCATATAGAAATCAGTGACTGCCGAACCCACCTGTGCAAATCGCCAGGGTTTCGCTCTTTGATAGCCTGTATAGACACATCCTGACGGGTTCAAAACGTACTCACTCACAGGCTTAATATCCGACAGGTGGTCCGGGTCTTCCGGAAAATAAACAGGGTCCTCTGTACCACAAAACAACTGTTATTGTATTAATACAGTCTCATGGAAATTATAAGTGAACAAGTAAAAGTGAATTACACCAAGGAGATATACATTCCTTGATGTTTAACCAACGACAGCGTTTTAACTGTGTTTTTATTCCTTTAAATAACACTCTTAAGCCGAAAATTTTCATTATGTTTCTTGTACTTTGATATAAACCCATAGCATGCTTCCTAATTTGCCGTACAATCAAAAGTATCTCTTCCATTGAAATCAATTTCTGTAAAAATATCTTGAAGGAAATTAGATTTCTATCTGTCATCGGGGTCTACATTTTAAATAACAAAACTCTGTAACGTGGTAGTCAATCTGTTTATACTTTGTGTGATGGTCTAGTGTTATGTTTCCACTATCAGATCTCAGATCAGATCAATTGGACCAAGTTATGTGACAAATCGTTAGAGAAAATGTTGCGGTGGCTCTCATGAAAAGACTAAAAATATTTAAGCACCTTAACTTGATCAACAGTTTGTTATTGGTTATCTCCGTGACTAATTTATAATTATTTTCATGAAAACATCTTTTTGCATTTTTTCAAAAAATAAAACAGGGAGGAGGGGTTGCGTGTAATATTATGCTAATGGAAAGTTCTCATTTATAGAAATCTATATTTAAACAAATTAAAGGAAAAGTGCTTAATGTAACGAGCTTTTGTTCGAAGATCGCATTTCTAAAAAGAAAAAATATGCATCAATCATAAATATCTAATATTTCTAACATTTATAGGCATAATAATTAAAAAAAACTGACCTTTGCACCAGGCGTTGAACAGTATGAAGATATCTTGGTCATGTTTGTAATGGAGCTTCTTTGTTTCTCCTCTTTTGTCTTTTGAGATGGTATACACATGCAGGTCCCAGTCTCCGACCACACAACTTGGGGGCGTCAGCACTTCTATCTCAAGTGTCTTAGCGGGCATCTTGTTAGTAACTCGGGCTTGCCACTTTCCACTGTTGTCAAACTTTTTTCCTTCTTCGTCCATAAGTATTGTTGCTTCAGTGCCCCGCAAAACAGACGGATCCACCCCTTTCAACATCATATACAGCCTTTCAACATGCTTTTAACTACAATGTAATTCACTATGTATAGGTAAGATGTATATAAATACGTAATATTTACCAAGTGTGAAGCGTAGTTGGAGGTCGTGTATTTTTGCTTCGTACTCTCGGTCAAAGGTGATGTTGATGCTGAAAACATGACCACGTCTTACCACAAGGGCAGCTGGTTCATCTTTTCCTTCAAACGTCCTTTCTTTGATACATTTGTAGTCAATCGTGTGGTGGTCGGAAGCGTTCTTGATGGTTTTTAGATCTATTGATTCTACATGAAACTCGCGACTGACTTCCTCATCCTCAGCATTGTCCTCTTCATCTTGAAAAGTTCACAAAATATACAATATTTAGGTAAACTTGTCAACTACATGCAACAGTAGATATACGTATCATACAACTTTACTAAACCGAGAAGAGACTTACGTTTAAAAATAAGAAAATAATAATGTACATGCATGTCTTTATTAAAACACATCATCGAAACCACTTATCAATTGCAGAAATGATGATTCGAATTTTTTGTGATAAAGTTAGCACAAAGGCGATCGTCTGTGATAAATAGAAAATAACATATATATCAAATGAATTATTATCTGCACCTTTTCTGAGAACAATATTACCATATGTATTGTCTCCTTACATACCGGTATTGACTTCGCCAAAGAGAGTTTCGTCGTCCAAAAACTTTTTATAGCGGTTGTACGGTTTGTAATCTGCGAATAAAACAAAATCAAATCAGTATTGCTTGGCCACAAGTACCAATCACAGCATTGGTAAATTGATTTATATTAATTGATCAATATGTTATGTTTAAACATGTTCAAGAAAGTTTTTCTGGACAAATTTGAATATATTTTACAATATTTTCTTAGCCTAAGGTAAAAATATTATCTTGTAATGTGAGAAAATAATTCTGGGGATTCAATCAAAGGTTACACATACCACATATATCTATGTCGTATCTATCAATGTAAAGTTCCCGGAAGCGTTTTATTTCCAATAAAACTGAGTATTTAATCTTGTGTGGTCCATATCGCCGAGACTCCCTGTTGCGACGTGGAGGCGAAACTACTCGGCGCCTTCTTCTGATCATCTTCGGTCAGGAAGTGCTGCTGAAAATTGAACATTTTAAAATTAAACTTATTTATGTTGTTTGAATCAAATAATAATAAAATTCAGCATGTTATCGATTTTTGGAATGCAACCTACATAAAACGAAGAATTGATATATCACAATGGTACAAACATAAGTATGATATAGGATTACACATTAGCGCTGCATAAATTTATCATAAATCTGTATCGTTGGATGGAACATTGACCAACATATAGTTTAGCTAAAAAAGCAAAATCATTTAGAAAGATTTTGATATAGTTTTGTTGTCGTTTGTATTTGAGAGTGAATTACTTCAATGAATTGACAAAGATTTTAACGTAGGTGTTGTTGATGAAGCAGAAAACACTTTATACCTAGTATCAAAATTAACTTTATTGTATTCTATACTTTTACCGAATCCATTTCATAATTATCTTAATTATTCAAACAAAATAAATATTTATATCTTCAGTTACAAAATACAATTATATGATGTTACGATTTTGGTAAATTCGGTTACTTTTAACTACCTAATTCAAGTTGTCAATTCCATGTTACCAGTGTTTATAAAATAACATTAATTACATCCAAACATAGAGATAAGCATCGAGAATCTGTGTTCGATATATTTTCTACGTCGTTAGAATCATTTTATAGATAGGTGGTAGTAAGGTCATTCTAGAAGACTTTCTTATGAACAGGTACATCAAGCGTTCGGTATATTGTTATAACTGTTTACAGTGCGTATTTGCTGTATTAGATGAAAGTCGTCGTCACTGTTTGCGGAGGCAGGAATGGATACAGGAATTATAGATTATCAGCAGATAAGTAAGGGATATAACAAGTAAGTTATTTTTGTTTTTGGGAATTAAGTAAAACAGTATGTTAATTTGAAAACAAAAGGACTTTCACCAAATTATTGAGACAGGAAAGGATTGTGATACTCTGAGAAGAAAGATCTTCAGGGAATGGTGGATAGAAAATCTACGGAGTTTTGGACGGTTGAGTTGAAGAGAAGTTCTCTCTTAGTTGAGCAGTATATTGCATTATTTTAATTTTTACCAGGATTTCATACAATTACAACAGGAGGTGAAACAACATAGATGTGGTTTGTTTCAGTCATTATGCAGATAACTGGTCACGAATTTTTCATCTTAGCTTTCTAAAGACTCACTAAAATGATACATATCTAGACTCGTTTCATAAATTCACATGATTGAAAGTCGTGAAATTTATCACAAAGTCAGTCTTTTATTCAGTGAATATGCCCATTTATTAATATTTTTTAAGTGTCAGTTGGATTTTTTCTTGGCGTGCGTCATACAGAATTTTTTTGTGATGTCATAACATGGACAACGTCATTTGGTCCTCAGTTTATTTTTGTCCACCATATCTTTAACCCTGTGAAAAGTGTTCTGATTTATGGGATAGAAAGCATCATTATTTGTTTTTCATTCAAAATAACATTTTATGAAACTCGTCTGGAAGTTTCTGTTTGCTTGACTTGATATGAAATAATTCAAGACACGTATGTTTTTATTGTCCCAATTTGTTGAAGCAGGTTCGTAGTGTATATTTCCTGTAATATAAAAGACTTGTTTGGTATCATAACATTCATTTTAGACTATTATGCAGACCCGACAAAACTGTCGGTTCGGTCTATTTAAAGTGTATGAATGCTAGCCAGACGACAGGTATTGAATAGGTTGAAGCCAACGATCCGTGCAATATATCAGTGTTATTGAGCGTGATCGACTTGGCACTATAGTTTATGGATGCTAGCCAGACGACAGGTATTGAATTGAGTAATTAAAGAAAATATTAAATTTTGTTCTTATTTCAGTTTCATTGTATATTAAGTAACCACTCTGAAATATATTTCAACCTGTCACAATAATCTGTCTTCAAATGACGGACTATTTGCTTGCATGTCGTCAGACGATATGATGACAAGAAACGTGAACTGCTTCGCAGTTGAATTTGTCTCAAGACCAACTCAATTCATCATTCAATTAAATCGACATAAGCAAGATTCAATCCTTTGATATATAATTTCTGATATAAAGCATATCATTATTACATACACCGGTGTTATTAAATCTACAACAGACAGAGGAGACGACGACGTCAACAGTGATAGTATTGATACTGCTGACATGGTAACTGTATGCTAGTTGGCTCGATCGGGATCTGCAGTCTTCCACTTACAGAATAACACTTTAATTATCTATCTAGTTATGATTCGATATCACTTACCTCTCTTCAGTAACGAAACAAAAATCCTGTATTGTGCTTGTTTGTAGACAGAAATAACGTCGTGCCAAGTCGATCACGCTCAATAACACTGATATATTGCACGGATCGTTGTCTTCAACCTATTCAATACCTGTTGTCTGGCTAGCATTCATAAACTATAAATAGACCGAACCGACAGTATGTGCTTTACTGTTTACAAACACAGCTAAGCAACGTCGGTCATGGCCAAATTCACGCAAGATCCGGTGAATGAGGTATTGTGGAAAGTATTTTACCGGCTTGGTTGGAGATATAATCAAGGTTTTGAATTCAGCCAGACTACAACGTTTTGTCGGGTCTGCATAATAGTCTACCATGAATGATACCAAACAAGTCTTTTATATTACAGGAAATATACACTACGAACCTGCTTCAACAAATTGGGACAATAGAAACATACGTGTCTTGAATTAGTTCATATCAAGACAAGTAAACAGAAACTTCCAGACGAGTTTCATAAAATGTTATTTGGAATGAAAAACAAAATAATGATGCTCTCTATCCCATAAATCAGAACACTTTTCACAGGGTTTAAGATATGGTGGACAAAAACAAACTGAGGCGGCCATTTTCAACCCAGGACGTAATGTCATTGTCCATGTTATGACATCACAAAAAGTTTCTGTATGACGCACGCCAAGAAAAAATCCAACTGACTTTTACAAAATATTAATAAATGGGCATATTCATTGAATAAAAGACTGACTTTGTGATAAATTTCACGACTTTCAATCATGTGAATTTATGAAACGAGTCTAGATATGTATCATTTTAGTGAGTCTTTAGAGAGCTAAGATGAAAAATGCGTGACCAGTTATTTGCATTATGACTGAAACAAACCACATATTGTGTTGTTTCACCTCCTGTTGTGTAATTGTATGAAATCCCGGTGAAAAAATAATAATGCAATATACTGCTCAGCTAGGGAGAACTCCATAGCTTGAGAGTCAGACTAGTAAGACAGGGGTCCCTTGTTCGAATTCTAGTGTAGGCTTCGAAATAAATAATGACCTCTGTTACATTGGCACCCATGTAGGAACGCTGGAACATAACTTTGCGTTAATTTCAAACTTGCATCGCTATAACCCCTTGAAGGGGGAGTATGTAACCCTGGTAAAATACTAGAAGCAAGACGCCGCTCGGCTAGAGAGAACTTCTCTTTACCTCAACAGCTTGAGCATCAGACAAGTAAGGCGGGGATCCCGGGTTCGAATCCAAGTGGAAGCATTGAAATAAATAATGACCTCTGTTACGTATACAATATAATTTTCCTATGTGTGGGTCATTTCTCTTTGCAGTATGTTTCACAAATCCCCGTTAATAATAGGAATATTGTGTTTAGTTCACCGTCTTAGGTTTTATAAGATACAATATTTAAAGGTAAAATATCGAGCCTACATAAATTACAATAGCCACTTTTTATGGTGTACGAGTGGTGTGCTTACACGACTGAACAAATATTGATCTTAACGACACATGTGGGTAGCAAGTTTCTATGTCAGAAAACAACATTATGTTTACTCGATAGGCATGACTGGTCATTTTAGAAACCGTACGTAAGGCGTAATACCTTATATACCGCGTCGTTCCTGCCGTAAATGATTACATATATTTCTCAATTGCTTCTAATGCTCAGCTTAGCATAATCATGTATACGCTGATTTGACCACATCTAATAAACAAGCACATATTAGAAAAGTGAAGTGTCAATGCTGCTTCCATATTGCTAGTACCTATCACTCCGTATGCGTATATATACAGCTGTGTGATGGTATGCCCCAGTTGCAACGTCTTCGTTTTTAATCAAATACACGTCAGGACAGAGTCATCAAGCTTACCTTCACTTTGTAGAAAAGCCTCGATCAAAGATTGAAGTTTGAAGACACAAATGGCGTCGATGCACGTAGATATCTGTAGAAAACCCTGGAACAGTGTGCAGATAGTTGACTCCAGGCTTTCAGTACCCGTCCTCTGTTAAATGCAAAAACTATATATAGAATGACTCCCCGTTGTAAGCGCGTTACTATTTACAAGAACAACATAGCAACATCGACCGAGGCCAGGTT